TGACCTTACAATCTTTACAATCGTCTCATAAGAAAATAATCAATTTGTGTTTTATTAGATTCACTTTTATAAGTAATAAGATGTTTATTTCTTTCCTTGAATAAAGTATTAGTAATAATAAAATCATACGCTAAAGCAAAATCTAAAATAGCTCTACCTTCTTCATTAGTTACTCCAAAACCGTAGCCACCATGAATATTTCTGAAATCTTCTACCACTCTACCGACATGTCCATTTAAATCTCCTCCAATAAAAATTCTTTTTTCAAGAGGTATCATTTGTATTAAGTTTTCTAAGTTATTCCAAAATTTATCTTTAGACCATGTGTCTAAGCCTACTTAAGGAGCATAAACGCTTATAATATTAAAAATCTTAGTATCAATGACAATCTTAAGGGCTATAATTCTATCACAAACTCTATTAATTTTTACAGCATTATCTTTCAAACTCTTATCTATAATTACACCTACACCATTTCTAGTGCGACTCTTACCAGAATACCAAAGTTTAAAACCTAAATTATCAATCTCCTTAGCCTTTTCTCCAACCCACTTAGTTTCTTGAATACATAAGATATTAATTTTCCTATGAATCATAATATCAACTAATTCCATTAATTTACCATTGAGAGTACCTATATTCCAAGATCCTATCCTAATATTAGTTTCATTAGTTTCATAGACTAACTTCTTTACCCGCATTCGCCGGTAAGAGATCATTTTTTTGTTGTAAATAATTTGTAAAATTATTAAATATAACCATTTTGCTATGCTTTGGATAATTTTGAATTATTTCGAGCTGACTCAAACTTTAACTCATTGGAATTTGAATCGTGGGAGGTAGTTTTGAGCAAATTTGGTATGATTTTTGGTTTGGTGTAAATCAGCTTTAAGCTGATATCAGGCCAGTCGAAGCTTAACCATTTTTGAGTTCAAACCATGGCCAACTTTCTCGAGCTTGATTCAATGCGAACCCTATTATTCATATAAGTAATTAGTTTTAACTGATTGTTTTGACCTGTTCATGTCTATTTTTCTCATTATATTTTTAGTTTAAGTTGTTGAATTTTCTATTTCCTTTTTTTTTGGGAAATTTACATACATAGCAGGCAATTCTTATGTATTTACATGCCTCACACCTAAACTTTCATTTTTTCATACATAGACCTATGCTTGAAATAGTGTATTTGATGAAATGTGGTAATAATTTTATGTTTGATGTGATATCAAAGATTTGAGTGCTCTGTGTGTAAATATGAAGTTTAGATATGTAAATTCATATGAATTGTGTGCTAGCTCTGTAAATGCCTCTTATTTTTCTTACTGTTGCTCAGATCGTGATGCTTTTTTTCAGAACATTTATTGAACACAAAATCAAGTGGAAACTTAATTTCTTCTGATTCTATTCAGTTTGCTGCTTTCAACAAAGTAAGTTGGATTTATCTTTTTCTACTCTATTGTTGGTGGGAACATTTTTTTATCCTTTTTTGGTAAATTTTAGACACAGGCATCGACTGATGTAACTCCAATTGCTCGAGTTGGTCATGCAAATATTCCCCAGCAGAAGGGACAACCAACAAATATGGCTCCATCATCTATCGGTCAGTTTGAGAACTGGGGAGAGTCTAATATGGCAGATAACAGTCCTAGGAGTGATAGCTCGACAGATGAGGACATGGATGGAAGGAATCAAAGGGTAATGTTTTCCTCAATTAAATCTTGAATTTTTCTTACTGTTCATAAAAGAAAATTGTCTTCCTGTATTTGGGCTTTTGTCTAATGTATATTGAGTCAATGGGGAGTTGAGGCCTTAATAACTTGCAAGGGTTTTGAGAGATTATATAGAAAATTAGAAGATTAGTGTTGTTGGTGGTTTTGGGGTTGAGGGAGGATAGGTTTTATGGATGGTCAAGCGTAGCTTAAAAGAAAATGAGTTATGTTCTCAGGTAGAGTAGGAGATGGAAAGGATAACTAAGGACTCACCAAAGCAATAGGGGATTAGCCACTACACTTTATCAAATAGTAGGGCAACCAGTGAGCTTTTTCACGCAATATTTGCACCAGCAAATAAATAATTTTATTCTATGAATCTCAGAAATACAATGCCTGGGGTATATATAAGCCTTTTGAAGTCTATGGTTGGCCAAGGCTTACTTGGGAAGTTTTTGAAGTCAATAAAATACTACTATATTGATTCTTGACATGTCATAAATCAAAGCAAACTAAAATAACATTAAGAAATTACATTAAAAATTATTTCATAAAGAGAAGATTCATATCTCTCTTTCTAAGCTTTCTAATTATTTCATATGACCTTTGAAGTGACGGGGGGTTGTTAATCGATTTGTTTGGAGAGTTTTGCATGACAAATATCCCAAATGTTGATGCACTGCCTTGGTTTATGATATCGTTCTAGGCTTTAATGTTGGTGTTGCATCAACTCACACGCCCTTCCCAAAACTTGAGTGCATCCACCCTCAACAAAGAAAAAAACTAAAAATTTCTCACAAATTGATTTGATATCTCCAGGGTGATGATGCCGGCTAAAAATCTTGTTGATATCACTCGTTCATGTTAAAATCTTCCATGTGCATTGTATTTGCCAAGCAAAAAACATTAAACAAGGCGTACAGAGATTTAAGATTTATGTGGCTCAACTTGAATAAATGCCAATGTGAGAGGAGAAGGGTTCTCATTTAACTTTAAGTCATTAAAACATTGTATGAGAGAAGGACATCTTCTTCTTCCCAAAATCTTAGTAAACTGACTCTTAACAAAGAAGAAGCCCAAAGAATCTGTCACATACAAGTTTACCTCATAAGAAGATACTAGCCTCCAAGTTGCAGTTTTTAGCCAAAAACTCTAGTTAGTGCCAAAAAATCATGTTGTATTCCTCTAGCTATTGTGTTTTGGTCAAGTTGGAATACCCACACTTTGCGTGTGAGAGAGAGGAGAGAGAGAGCTTGCATGAACTACAGGAAATCCTTCATAATTTCTTGATTTTTGCTGTTGCCCAACTTGTCATCACATTATATTGTTTGTTGTTTTTTGGCAGTGTGTTTATTTCTCTTTAGGGAAATATATATATGCAGCACACTATTCTTATGTATTTACGTATATCACATCTAAACTTTCATATTTACATTGCACTATGGTGCTTTAAACCTATGCATGAAATGGTGTATTTCATTTTTAAAAAGTGGGCAATAGTGCTATTTTTTATGTCATATTAAAGTTGTGAGTGCCTATGTGTGTACATATGAAAGTTTACGTGCGAGATATGTATATACATAAATATTGTGTTCTATGTATGTAAATGACCTTTTGTCTTTATTATATTGTCTTTATTATCCCTTTCATGTTTTAGTTTAAGTTGTTATGGCAGCATAAGTTCATTTGCTAGGCATATCTTTTAATTTGTTCATTTTGTATTTTCTTGTTCTCATATATTGCAATTGGTGAACAATGTGCAACTCTGATTATTGTATGCACTAGTTATCTTGATTAGTAAGAAAAGACTCATGTTATCTCAGTTGTACTTGATGGATACTTTAGTTTGTGTGAGGATTTAAACTTCTTTTTGTTAACTTATAATTATTACTAATGACATTAAGCAGTTTGATAAAGGACAAACTGGTACTGTAGCTGCTTCGGATTCCAGTGATAGATCTAAAGAAAAAACGGGAGATCAGAAAGTAAGAATTTTTTTTTTTTTTGCAATCTAATTTTATTTTGTCACATCCTAGCAGTGACTAATTTCTTGTAATTTATGTTTCTTAAGACTCTTAGACGGCTTGCTCAAAATCGTGAAGCTGCAAGGAAAAGTCGTTTAAGGAAAAAGGTAACAAAAGTCTCTTCATTGCCTGCAGGAATATCTTTTTTTATCTTTTATTTTAAATCTAGTATTTTTAAATTTTTCTATGGTGAACTAAGCTGTTGATACTTTCAAATCTAAGATATATTTTATGCAATTTATCATGCCACTCTTTTTTATGTATTTGCCTAACTTTTTTCAGTATTTTGTGCCTAAGTGATATTGTTAGTTAATAAGGTACATCTATCACATTTAGAATATAAACTTCTAAAGTTGGAGGTCAGTTGACATATCACACTGTCATTAACTTTAAGATCTTGATTTTTGCAGTTCACTTCAATATCTAATGTGAAAAGTGTAAATACATAATTATTTAACACTGCCATTGCCGGTCCCAAGTCCGGATGTGAAAATTGGAGGGTTGCGTTAGGTAGTGACAGTCAACGTAAAACTTGTCGAACAAATCATGACATGAATCATTTTGATCATTGTGTAAGTGTTAAGGCGTCCCTTGGAAACGACACATTGTATGACTTGAATGTAGTGAAAAGTGTGCAAGGGCCGCTGCACCGGCGCCCGGGTGTAGTGTCAAATAGTAGAGTTCTCACATTACGGACGGATGCAGGTAAAGAAATTAGTGCATGAAACTAATATTAGATTAGGATCTTGGAATATATGTACTTTCAATGGTAAATTAATGGAATTAGTTGACATTACGATTCATAGAAAGATTAATATTTTATATATTCAAGAAACTAAATGGGTCAGAGAAAAAGTTAAGGAGATTGATAATTTAGGTTTTAAACTTTGGTATTCTGGTAAGAGTCGCACTAGAAATGGTGTAGGTGTTATTATAGATAAGAGTTTGAAAGATAATGTTGTAAAAATTAATAGAGTTGGAGATAGAATTATAGCCTTTAAGATTATCATTGATAATAAGATTTTTAATATTATAAGTGCTTATGCTCCTCAAGTAGGTTTAGATATAGGGTCTAAAGATAAATTCTGGAATGTCTTAGAAGACTTAATACAATTGTTATCTCTCGAAGAAAGAATTTTTATTGGAGGAGATTTAAATAGATATGTTGGTAGATTGGTTGAAATTTCAGAATTGTTCATGGTGGCTATGGTTTTGGAGTGACTAATGAAGAATGTAGAGTTATTTTAGATTTTGCTTTAACGTATGATTTTATTATTATTAATACTTTATTCAAGAAAAGAGATGAACATCTTATTACCTATAAGAATGAATCTAATAAAACACAAATTGATTATTTTCTTATGAAAGAAGAGGTCGTCGAGACTGTAAAGATTGTAAGGTCATTCCAAATGAGGATTTAAGTACCCAACATCGATTATTAGTTTTAGATTTTAAGATGAAGAGTTGTAAAATAAAGAATCCTAGGATTCATCATCGTAGAATTAGATTGGAGAACCTACAAGAGACATAAAATTATTTTTTGAGTTAAATTCAAGATTTCAAAATGTGGGATGTTCATGAAGAAACAAATGTTATGTGAGATAAAGTAACAAATACTATTAAACAAATTGCAAAAAATGTGTTTGGAGAATCAAAACGAAATGTTCTTATGAATAAAAATAGTTAGTGGTGGAATAATAATGTGCAAGAAAGATAAAATATAAGAAATTATGTTATAAAAATTGGTTTAAATGTAAAATCTTAGAGAATTGAGAAAAATATTAAATGACCCACAGGGAGTCCAAAAGAGCAATCTGTGACGCTAAAAATTATGTTTTTAGTGATTTTTATAATAGATTAGATACTAAGGAGAGTGAAAAATATCTGTATAAATTAGCCAAACAAAGAGATAAGAAAATTAAAAATTTAATACAAGTAAAGTGTATCAAAGATGAAAATAAAAAGTGTTTTTCTTAGAAAAAGATATTCAACATAGGTGTGTGAATTATTTTGACAAACTTTTTAATGAAGTTTATGAAAATACGATCGACCTTAGTGATCCTATATCGTTAATAATAATAAAACGTTTCTTTTTTACCGTCGCATTAGTAAAAAAAGAAGTTGAGGAGGCTTTAAAGAAACCTAGGGTGGAAAGTCTGTAAGATCTGATGATATCCCAATTGAAGTTTGTAAATATTTAGGAGATTTGAGAGTTTATTGGCTTACTAAACTCTTTAATATTATTTTAAAATCTAAAAAAGTTGCCTGAGGAGTGGAGGAAGAGTATTTTGGTCCCCATTTTTAAGAATAAAGGGGATGCACTAGAGTGTGCCAATTATTGATGAATTAAGTTGATGTGTCATACTTTAAAATTATGGGAGAGGGTAATTGAACATAGGTTATGCTGATCAGTAGCTTATTCTGATAAGCTGACAAACTGTTTGGTTTGTGCGTATCGAAAATAGTTGATTTTGGATAAATGACTATTCTGATTCTGTTCTGGATAAATTGTTTAGTTTTTTTGTTTGTGCGTTTGAAAAATAATTGATTTGTAGCTTTTTGTGGATAAAAGATCATTCTGATAGGCTCTGTGTTGCTGTTTACACTAGTACTTTAACGAGTACACATTTGACAGTTCAAAACAAAAAATATCATTTCATAACAGTACAAAATTATCTTACATATTTACATATCTAACAGTTCAAACAAATCTTACATAGCTACATAAATTTTGATGCACACTTCACTTAAAATTTTTACGCAACTTTTGAAGTCCTCCATTTAACATAACACATACAACAAGTGCTTAATGATAATGAATCATAAGTTTGGATAAGACTTCATCATTACCTATTCTTATACATATTCCCCTACTTTTAAGATTCAGAGAAATAAAAAAACCTTAATCTCATTCTCTTATGAAATTCTCATGGAATGTTACATCACAAGCATCATTTAGTTTTAGCTTTGTAGACCCACATGAACTATTGATTGTCGTTGCAATTCTAGCCTAGCTTTAGGCAGAGAAGATAGAAAACTTAGAGCACAAATTGTATTATCAAAGTTGATGCCTATTACATTCAACTGACTTGTGATTTGATTTAACTTATTGACATTTTTTGTGGTGAAAGTACCTTAAGTAATCTTGAGATTAAAAATTTTCTAATTATATATATTTCTTTACTGCTGAAGGCTTCTTATATATATTTAATGGAGCTCTCATTACAGTTGCCGTGGGCTTCTTAAGCGATATACATGAGACAACATTCTTTGTTGATGACAACATATAATCTCATGTCTGTCTACCCAGTAGACACTAATATTCTTGGCCCATGGTACTAGGTTTGGATTCTAAAAAAAGTAGATGCAGCTTTCTGTAGCATGGATAGTTCTTGATCTACATTTTCTAACATATGAAATCCTTGTCATCAAATCTATTATCCTCATCTTCATATAATCCAAACACCATTGCTACTACTAGTTCAGTATTTCATAAAACTACAAAACTCCTACTCTGATCCAGTTCTTTAGGAAAAATATATGCTTGAGAACAATAAAAAACACAATAAGGAGAAGAATGCTCTACTCAACCCATCCACTACTATTATTACTCTTTATATCATCAGAACTCATCAAGTTCTGAGGCAAACAAACTTGGTTTGCATCTTTTCTGCTGTTCGTTGATGAACTTGAATTTGAACTGCTCATCACGCTGTGAGAAGTCTTTACAAGCGTTTCAACGGCACCTTGCAAACAGCAACCAAGATATCCTTCACCTTAGCCTTGTGGATGGGATTGGTGAGGCCGGAGAACAGAAGATCATAGGTGTTCACCTCCATTGTCTCGTCCAGATAAATAGACACAGCAGTTCTCACAAAGTGTTGGATGCTGTTGACAATCAGCTTCTTACATTTGTCGGTGCCCATCAAATTGACCCAAGCTGGCACATCATCGCAAGAATCAATTGTTTCTCCTCTGTAATATAAGGCCATTACGATTTTCCTTGCGAAGCTTCCAACACCATGGAAGAAAAATCGGATCCTTTATCAGAGAGGCCGCCGGCTGCGAGGGCGAGGATGCATCGTGGTCGGCTGGCGGCTAGATCAGGAGCCATTGGGGGAGCCACGTATAGTTTTAGGTATGTGATGGAGAATGAAACAGAAGGTGAGGCGTTGGTGGAAGCGATAAATTATGGGAAAGGAAAGTAGAGAGGTTAATATGGTCACTGTGGGGAGAAAGAAAACTTTCCGCGAAGAAGACTGGCAGATTTCGATCGCAATTCTTATGGCGATGGCAACAGAGTAATATGGGGTAAAACACAACGAAGAAACGCCGGCCACAGGGTGATCCCCGCAGGCGAAGTTATTACTAATATCGAAACGGTGATTTTAAAAACGCGGTGGAAACGTGAAAAACAAACAGGAGAGCTGTGTTTTAAAACTCCATCCGCTGTTTTAAGCTGCCCCAAATAGGCCCTTAATGTTATATTGCCACATCTAAGGTTTTTGAACTCTTTAGATTGGGACCACTCGATTAATCTTGGATGATGAAATCATGGGATATCTAGTAATTTTATCGCTCTATGCTCTTCAAAACCACAATAAGACGCAAAAGTTTGCCTATACTATCACCATGGAGTACTTCAAGAACTAGAGTTGAGATATTTCTTTGAACGTGGGGCTTGCCCAAAAGAAATTTCAAATCTTTTCAGTTAAATTTTGAAGACCAAGAGGATTTCAAATGAATGGAAAATAAAAATTTGGCACCAATATTTAAGATTAAGAAGGTACCCTATATTGTGGTAAATCTTAAAGGATTGAAATGCACCAATCATTCAAATTTTGTATGAGAGAATGTTGAAATATATGGTTTGGAAATTAACACTGATATCAAGCATTTTTTTTTTATCTTTTGTCGGGAAAATTTACCATTCAATGATTTTATGTTAAAGAAATAAATAAGGAAGTACTAGGGGAAATTGAAAAATCTTCATATGACTGTTTATGCTTGAAATTTAAAATAATAGATAAGACTTCTAGAAGCTAGTGGGCTTAGGATTAGTGTTCTATTTTTACATCTAAGGTTTTTGAACTCCTTGGATTGGGACCACTCAGTTAATCTTGGATGATGAAATCATGGGATACCAAGTAATTTTTTGGCTCCATGCTCTTCTAAACCACAATAAGACGCAAAAGTTTGCCTATGCTATCACCATGGAGTACTTCAAGAACTAGTGTTGAGATATTTCTTTGATCGTGGGGCTTGCCCAAAAGAAATCTCAAATCTTTTCAGTTAAATTTTGAAGACCAAGGGGATTTCAAATGAATGGAAAATAAAAATTTGGCACCAATATTTAAGATTAAGAAGGTACCCTATATTGTGGTAAATCTTAAAAGATTGAAATGCATCAATCATTCAAATTTTGTATGAGAGAATGTTGAAATATATGGTTTGTAAATTAACACTGATATCAAACATTTTTTTTTTATCTTTTGTCGGGAAAATTTATCATTCAATGATTTTATGTTAAAGAAATAAATAAGGAAGTACTAGGGGAAATTGAAAAATCTTCATATGACTGTTAATGCTTGAAATTTAAAATAATAGATAAGACTTCTAGAAGCTGATGGGCTTAGAATTAGTTTTATATTGCCACATCTATGGTTTTTGAACTCTTTAGATTGGGACCACTCGGTTAATCTTGGATGATGAAATCATGGAATACCAAGTAATTTTTTCGCTCTATGCTCTTCAAAACCACAATAAGACGCAAAAGTTTGCCTATGCTATCACCATGGAGTACTTCAAAAACTAGAGTTGAGATATTTCTTTGATCGCGGGGCTTGCCCAAAAGAAATCTCAAATCTTTTCAGATAAATTTTGAAGACCAAGAGGATTTCAAATGAATGGAAAATAAAAATTTGGCACCAATATTTAAGATTAAGAAGGTGCCCTATATTGTGGTAAATCTTAAAGGATTGAAATGCATCAATCATTCAAATTTTGTATGAGAGAATGTTGAAATATATGGTTTGGAAATTAACACTGATATCAAACATTTTTTTTTATCTTTTGTCGGGAAAATTTACCATTCAATGATTTTATGTTAAAGAAATAAATAAGGAAGTACTAGGGGAAATTGAAAAATCTTCATATGACTGTTTATGCTTGAAATTTAAAATAATAGATAAGACTTCTAGAAGCTTTTGGGTTTAGAATTAGTGTTATATTGCCACATCTAAGGTTTTTAAACTCTTTAGATTTGGACCACTCGGTTAATCTTGGATGATGAAATTATGAGATACCAAGTAATTTTTTCGCTCTATGCTCTTTAAAACCACAATAAGACGCAAAAGTTTGCCTATGCTATCACCATGGAGTACTTCAAGAACTAGTGTTGAGATATTTCTTTGATCGTGGGGCTTGCCCAAAAGAAATCTCAAATCTTTTCAGTTAAATTTTGAACACCAAGAGGATTTCAAATGAATGGAAAATAAAAATTTGGCACCAATATTTAAGATTAAGAAGGTGCCCTATATTGTGGTAAATCTTAAAGGATTGAAATGCATCAATCATTCAAATTTTGTATGAGAGAATGTTGAAATATATGGTTTGGAAATTAACACTGATATCAAACATTTTTTTTTATCTTTTGTCAGAAAAATTTACCATTCAATGATTTTATGTTAAAGAAATAAATAAGGAAATACTAGGGGAAATTGAAAAATCTTCATATGACTATTTATGCTTGAAAATTAAAATAATAGATAAGACTTCTAGAAGCTGATGGGCTTAGAATTAGTGAAACAAACTCTTCCTACCTGATGTACAGATTTATTGGAGCAGTAATCATTTCCTGTATGTCCATAGTGTTGGAAATTGTTTGATATTTTTGTGTGATAGATCTGAACCGTTGCTTATAGAAATGAAATAGGTTATCATTGATGACATAAATTTTGGAGTTAGAATTGAGTTGTCAAAGTGGGGAATGCTTTAAGAACCTTTAGAAGCTAAAATATCATGGATACATTTAAATTCTAAATTACAACTTGATTAAGTAGCTTCTAGGAAGTATAGAGTTAGGCCATAAATATGTCATTGATAGTGGAGAATGCTCTAAGAATACCTTTAGAAGCTAAAATATCATGGATACATTTAAAATCTAAATTACAACTATATTAAGTAGCTTGCAGGAAGTATAGAGTTAGACCATAAATATATCATTGATAGTTTGATTAAAATAAAATTTTGAACGTTAAAATTGGTGTGATCAAAATATAAAGATAAAGTGAAAAATCATTATATTAAAGAGGTTGTAGGGTAGCTCTTAGTGAAGTTCAGGCAGTGCAAGGTAGACTTAAGTGGCATGATATGAAGATAAGGCCATAGTTAACATGTCTAGTGGTTGTGCAAAATAACCTCTTGTTAAGTCCTCTGGGAATTAATGGAAAAGGATGATTTTTAAAGATGGCCTAAAGATTCGGTATGGTTGGTCACAATTATTGTTAATTCTTAAAAATAACCCTAAAATTATTGGTAATGCTTAAAATGATGATTATTTTTTTGATATAAGCTTTCTGTAATTTTAAAATGTAATACTATATTGGGGCGTTTACATTCATACCACCCAAATCTTATGTACTTACAAACCTAGCACGTACATTTTGCCTTTTATATTTATACCAGCAAAATCTTTTATATCACATCAATAATATCACCATTTTAACTTTAAAAAGGTGAAATGCACCTTTTCATGCATATTTAATGTGTTATGTATGTAAAAATTGTAGTTTAGGTGTTAGATATATAAATACATAGGAATTGAGTGGTATGTATGTAAATGTTCCTATATTTTATCAACTAAGAATGTGGTTGGTTTTTAACTATGGCTAAGTGATTACTTTTGCACGTCTTTTTATTTTTTTTTTCAATTTCCTTTTTAGCAGACCATTATAATTTTCATTTCCTTTTTGTTTTCTTTTTAGCACATTATTTTCGTTTAAGTTCTGAACCATGATTCCACTTGTTTGCAGGCTTATGTTCAACAACTTGAAAACAGCAGATTGAAGCTCACTCAACTCGAGCAGGAGCTCCAGAGGGCACGCCAACAGGTATGCTGCAGTTTCAGCTCAACTCTCCGAATTGAAGTATTTTGTTGGTTTTGTAGGATGATTATATGGATGTATTTCTTAATTGTTTAATATTTTTCAGGGAATCTTTATTTCAAGCAACGGAGATCAAGCACATTCTACAGGTGGAAATGGTAACACTTTCTTCCATCTTCAAGTTCATGCTTTCTGTAGGATTTTGCGCATCTTCGTGTTATATGTTATAGTTCTAAAAAGAACTTTACATATGTAGCACACAATTTTTACGTATTTACATATTACACCTAAACTTTCACATTTACAGAGCACTGTGGTGCTTTAAACCTATGCATGAAAAGGTTTCTTTCACTTTTAAGAAGTGATAATAGTGACATTTTTGGCTCAATATTAAATATTTGAGTGTTACGTGTGTAAATAAAAAAATTTAAGCGAGAGACATGTAAATACATATGATATGAGTGTATAGTATGTAAGTGCCCCGACTCTAAATTAGAGTGAATAGGATTAACTTTTGAGTTTCAAGTCATGTCCTTGGGTGAATGAACATGAGAGTAAGTGGAGATGTTTGCCATGGTCATTTTTGGTTAGATAACTTGATGCCACCTGCCTTATATTTCGTCTTTTCATTCGCCTTATTCATTTCCATCCTCCTGGATCCGCATTTACCCATCACAAGGAGGTAAAGTTTTATGAGGAGCTCCAAGGCTTTGCTTGAACCAAACTGAGTTGGGCAAACTCATTTGTGAGAGCCAATCCCGAGCTTTATTCAAGCATATGGTTGGTATTTAGATTGGTTTAACTAAGAATGTTGGCCTTGATTCGAGCTTAATTTGAACTTTGCATGAGAATAGCTTTTCAAACTATTTTTTGGAAGGCTTCGATAATCCATAGTATTATATAGTCATGTTTAAGGAGGGCATAGTGACATTAAATTCATAGTTTTGAATTACATGTGTTTTATCATTAACTTTTCATTGGAAAACCCTAAGATTGAAAATTCTTTATGAATCTATTGCATGATGAAATATACTCAATTGAAAATGGCTTAAAATGGCTTTATGAATATTCATGTTTTTCTGAGTAAATTAAGGTTTCTAACCAATCAAAACTACTTGATCAGTTTGGCAAATAAGCTTCATGTACTGAAGACAAATTTACATTATTATATTTCAGGGGCTTTGGCATTCGATGTAGAATATGCTCGATGGATCGAGGAACAGAACCGTCTCGTCAATGAGCTTAGAGCTGCGGTTAACGCGCATGCAAGTGATAATGATCTCCGCGCTGTTGTCGACGGAATAATGGCTCACTATGATGAAATATTTAGGCTTAAGGGTAATGCGGCGAAGGCGGATGTCTTTCACATGCTATCAGGCATGTGGAAGACACCAGCAGAGAGGTGTTTCCTTTGGCTGGGTGGCTTCCGGTCCTCCGAGCTTCTTAAGGTGATATATATATATATAAGATAATTTTGTTTTTTTAGTTTTTATTAAGGGGAATTCACATACATACCATGCAATTCTTATGTATTTACATATTTAACCCCTAAGCTTAGATTTTTAGATTATAACACCCAAATCTTTCATGCCGCATCAAAACTACTACTTTATTTACTTTTAAAAAGTGAAATACACTTTTTTCATGTATAGGAAAAGTGGTATATATGTAAAAAAAATTGAAGTTTAGGTGTTAGATGTGTACATGCATAGGAATTGGATGGTGTATATATAAATCTTTCTTTTTTGAAATGAGTTGTGCTTCATTGAAATGGATATAGCTTAGTAATTGAAAAAATAAGTACTGTATTTTCAGAAATCTGAATATTCAATGCGACGACAATCAAGTTGTATATTTGCATTTGAATAAAAGAACCAAAAGTTGCTTTTATTTTAAAATTATGCATTTATTTCTAGGAAAATTCAGAAACATACTACACAATTCTTATGGATTTACATATTTAACATCCGAAGTTTGATATTTACACTAATAACATCTTGGTGTTATAAAACTATGCATGAAAAGGTGTATATCCTTTTTAAATGATAGTACATACCAAACAATTTGTATTTACATATGTAACACCTAAAGTTTGATAGTTACGCATGTAACATCTTGATATCATAAATCCATCCATGAAAATATTTATTTCACTTCTAAAAAGATTGTGATGGTGGTATTTTGGATGTGATGGCAAAATGATCTTACGTAGGGGTTGATAATTATGTTTGCAATTCATTTGCTGGTCAATAAGTGCTACATGGACTCGAGTTGATTTACTTTGATGTAACAATCGTTCGCTCGCTTTGGTTTAGATTTAAGCTAAAATCTACTTGATATATAGCATAAAGGTGGATGCTTTGAGACATGGCACATATATTAATGTGAAATTTACATAACAAACACACAATTCTTATGTATTTATTTATCTAAACTTTCATATTTATATATATAGCATTTTGGCGCTTTAAACATATGCATGAAAAGGCGTATTTCACTTTTAGAAATTTACTTTTGATGTGATACTTAAAATTTTGAGTTTGAGATATGTGAATACATAAGAATGTGCAATTTATGTAAAATGCCCCTATGTTAAGTCATGATTACATAACAAATTATGCATACACACAAGTATGTCTTTGTGCATGTATTTACGTGCATTTGTTTGTACATAATTTAGGGTTGTAAATGAGCCAAACTGAATGGTGAACCGGCTCGAGCTCGACTCGTTACTCGCTCGAGATCGAGCTTAAAGTCAAGCTCGGTTACACCCTTTCACTTATTTCTTCTTCCCTATATGATTATACCATCTCTTTTGCTTGTTTCCTATATGGAACTTCACAGCTACTGGCAAATCATCTGGAGCCTCTAACTGAGCAGCAGCTAGTAGGTATCTGCAACCTGCAGCAATCCTCTCAACAAGCCGAGGACGCTCTCTCGCAAGGCATGGAAGCACTGCAGCAGTCGCTGGCCGAAACTCTCGCCGGAGCTCTCAGCCCCTCCGGTTCCTCCGGCATGGTCGCGAACTACATGGGACAGATGGCAATGGCCATGGGAAAGCTCGGCACGCTCGAAAACTTCCTTCGCCAGGTGAATGTTCGCCCTTCATTTTCCACAATCCTTTCATCATTACGACAATACAAACTTTTCACTTGTTTTGCGGATTGTGCGCTCAGGCTGACAATTTGCGACAACAAACGCTGCAACAGATGCATCGGATACTAACAACACGACAATCAGCACGAGCTCTTCTGGCGATAAGCGACTATTTCTCGAGGCTCCGTGCACTGAGCTCACTTTGGCTCGCCCGTCCTCGAGAGTGAGAGATGATGTATCTCTGATCTTGGAGCCTCACTTCAATGGTTTTTTTCAATGTAAGAATGTAATATTGTATTTGTAGGATTGTTGGTCCACTCTCTTTTATGTGTAGTGTGTTTTTCAGGTGTAAGAATTGAAAACATTAGAATGTTTGTTGTAATATTTAAGGTTAAGTTTGTTATAACTAGAAAAAAAAAAAAAAAACATGTAATTTAAATAAGTTATTGTATCAATTATCAGACTTATATTCTGTCATTATAGGTGTTGAGTGTTTTGGATTTGTTTTCTATAAAATTGAAAGTAATTAGCTAATTAAAAAAAAAAAGTTTACATATACATCACTCAATTTCCATATATTTACAAAGCTAACATCTAAATTTCAATCTTGATAGTTGTATTTGTGATATGATTTACTAGATTTGAGTGGTAGAAATGTAAAAAAGGCTTAGGAATTAAGTGGTATGAATGTAAATCTTCATTTAATTTTTTTTAATAAATGCTCCACTTATTTAACATACAAACCTACTTTTATAAAAGCATCAGAACATTTTGTAAAATTTATTAATTTAGTGCTCTTATTAAAGAACAGAATACATTCGTAATTCTTGAATCAACATTACGTGGCATTTTTGAAATAATGTGAAAAAAAAATTCAAAAATTGCATTTTTTTAATTAGTCTCATTTATATTTTGCATTTATCAATAATATGAAAGCTATTAAATAGTCCACCAAATAAAAAAAAAATAAATATATCCAAATATTCTATTAACATGTGATTAGAATAATTTAAACTAATTAATTATATTTTAAAAAAGAGTGCAATTTAAGTTTTAGTTACTTATTTATATATTATATTCATTTTATCCCAATTATTTTCCCATCTAATAGAATTAAAGGTTCGGAAGATTTACGTGCATATTACTCAATTTTTTTGAATTTATATATATATGTATGTCATCTTCTATATGCAAGAAAAGAACAATGTGTGTTTTTTCTTAAGAAAATTAAAATAATGATATTTTTATGTTATTTGAAAGGTTTAGTGGTATAAATATAACAAGCAAAATTTGGATATCATATATGTAATTACATAGAATTTGGGTGGTATGCATGTAAATACCCCCATAATAGAATAATAGTTGGTCAATCTACTCCAGAGATACTGGGTTATATTCGTGTTATACCCGATAACCTCGCTGTAACCTAAACTCTAACCTACTTGTGTAGCTCTTACGTACGCAAATTTTTTTCCTCCCCACCATCTTCCTTGAATTTTTATTGCCTCAGGACTCCGTAGGGTGAGTTCCTTGCGGAGTACAATGAGTGGAGTACAAGTGAAATTGGGTCCCACTGCATATAAAAATTAAAAAAGAAGCTTGAACTGACCTGAATCAACGCGAGAAATTTAATAGGTGTGTTTATCGTTAACCCGACCCGAATTAAATCCAGAAACAGACAAAAAGTTAGATTCGGCGTTTTTGGAGCTTTTCGTCGGTTCGCATTCGGCTTCTTCCTCCTTCAACATTCGGCTTCTTCCTCCTTCAGCTTCGGGATTCTTCATCCTTCGGCTTTTCCGACTTTCCTTCTTCCTCCTTCGACATTCGACTTCTTCCTCCTCCGTCCTTCGGCTTTTCCGACTTTCCTTCTTCCTCCTTCAACATTCGACTTGACTTTCGCCTTCTTCCTCCGCCGGCATTCGGCTTCTTCCTCCTTCGACATTCGGCTTCTTCCTCCTTCGGCTTCGAGCCTCTTCATTTTTCGATTTTTTTCGGCACTTCGAACGACGGTTTGTCTTCGGCGACAGTGGTTCTCCATTCGGACGGCTGGTGGTAGTACTCCATTCAATTTCGACTTTTGGAAACATAAGGTAGGTTATGTAATACTCATTCCAAATATTAGTGCTTAGTCGTTTCATTGCAACAAATAGTGATTTATTTTCTTTCTCATTGTAGCACACAAAATGGAAGGTCGCAAGAGAGCAGAAGAACTTAGCAGTCTCCCAAAGTCGTTGAGGTAACTACATTGTTTATTTTAAAATAAAAATTGAAGTTTTAGTTGTGTTATTGTAGTATTATAGTGGTGTTGTAGTCGTATTATTGTGTGATATTGTGTGTTATAAATGTGTTATTGTTGTGTTATGATTTTTGGAGATGTGTTATAATGTGTTATTGTGTGTTATAATTGTGTTATAGTTGTGTTATTATATGTTATTGTGTGTTATTGTATGTTATAGATGTGTTATTATGTGTTATGGATGTGTTGCTATGTGTTATTGTTGTGTTGTGTTGATATAATGGTGTTATATGTATTATTTTGTATTATTGTTGTGTCATATTATTAGAATTGTGTTATAGATGTGTCATATATGTGTTTTAGTGTGTTATTGTTGTGTTATAGTTGTGTTAGTGGTGTAACACAAGCTAATATAATCATAACACAATGATAACACACTCATAACACACAATAACATAACATTAACACAATAGTAACACGAGAATAGTAACACAATAGTAAAACATTATAACACAACAATAATACAATGATAACACCACCGTAACACAACATTAATACATAATAACTCATCTATAACACAACAAAAACTGAACTATTGCATTCATATAACTCATAAATAACACCTAACAATAACACACAATAAGTCATCTGTAACACAACAATAACTGAACTATAACACTCATATAACACAAGACTAACACATATGTAACACACAATAACACATGTAATAATAACACTTGAGTAAATTGAAATTGTTTGAATGAAAAATAATATTTCTTTCTATATGTTTGCTTATATAGGTATATGAACGCAAGAACGTTCAATTGTAGATGTCGTCCTTCCGCAGTCAGGAGTGCACTCGATACTGTTAGATACATTGTACCTGAGGAAACAATGACTTTTTTAAGAGAAATAAATGTCAGTCGGTTTTTTGACATGTCTCCTTATTCCCAAGATAATGTGTTGACTCTACGTATCATGGGATTTTGGAATAAAGAAAGAAGAGCTTTTGTGATGGGTGGGAAGTTGGTGAAATTCCACGCCGATCATGTGGCGCTTTTGTTAGGCATGCCCAACAGGGGAGAATCTGTTAGTTGGAGGAAAAGTCCGTCATCTCATGTAGATTCGAGAGCAATAAAGGAAGATGTGACTAAGTTTTCAGAAGAGTCTTCCACTCCTTTTGAGAAACTATTTCTTGAGTTTTTACTGACAAATTTATTCTTTCCCTCGAGCAATTTCAGCGTACCTGTAGGTTTTTATGCATTTGGAGAGACGTACAGACTTTCTCTTCGTTTAACTGGTTTGTTGCTATATGTGATTATATGATTGATCAAATGAACTTTGTTGCAATCAAAATAAAACGAAATCAGTCACTTGGTTACATAAGTGATTTTTTATTTTTTTTATCTGTAAGTTTATATTTTCTACAGTTAAAAATTTTCATTTTCATTAATTGTTTTTGTTTTTTTTGTTTTTTTTTTTTTTTTTTTTTTTTTTGCATTATGACAAAATGATTTTTGATATGTGTTATATGTAGCGGAATAACACATCTATGTGTTATATTACAGTGGTATAACACACGAGAAATATTCCCCATGTGTTACACCGCGGTAACACATGATGAATATTTCCCATGTGTTATACCTCATCAGAATAACAAGGGAGGCGTTATTAGGCGGAATAACACGTTTTTGCGTTACAGGCGGCGGCGGTTTAACCGCAAAATTAGGTAAATATATAAATTAAGTATAAATTTATAAAAGTAATATATCAATTTATATAAGTAATATATAAGTTAAGTAATATAACACAAGATTTTAGATAAATAACGCGTTATTACATATCGTGATGGCGGAATAACACGTCTGTGTTATATTATATTAGTATAACGCATGGGGAATATTCTCCATGTGTTACACCACGATAACACATGGGGAATATTCCCGATGTGTTATATTTCAGCGGAATAACAAGGGTGTGTTACACCACGGTAACACATGGGGAATATTCCCAATGTGTTATATTTCAGCAAGGAACAAGGGGAGGCGTTATTGGCGGCGTAATAACACATTTTTGCATTATAGGAGGCGGTTTAACCACAAAATTAGGTAAATATATAAATTAAGTATAAATTTATAAAAGTAATGTATCAATTTATATAAGTAATGTATAAAATAAGTAATATATCACTGTATATGTGTGCTATTATATATATTAAGTAATAAATGTAATAAATTAAGTATACATTTGCCAATTTATATAAATTAAGAATTAAACACTGGCGTGCGTTATTGAATTAACAATATAACAACTTATATTAGTTACGTGATAACATGGACTCAATAATATTACAAATAATACAAATATATGAAATACATGGACTCGATAATGTTACAAATAATACGAATATATGAAATACATGAACTCGATAATATTACAAATATAGATCACTTATTGAATTCATCAACAATTGGGTATATCCTTGTGTTGGTTGTGATGCATCATATTTTTTAAGAAATTGAGATATTAAAAAGAAATATAAATGCTAATGCCACCGACCTTATGTTATATGATATCGAGTTACATCGAGTTTCAACTATATACCTGACTGAGATAATCTGGCATTTCAAATAAATTTGCCTCGGATGGTATACCGGGATCTTGGCTTATTGATGCTTTTTGATGTTTTCCTATATACAATGATTTAGGTTAGAGAAAGACAATCATACAATAATTAAAATATCTTATAATACTGAAATATATACTTTTTGATCTCTTATTCTTCTCCCAATACCCTTTCCACCTAGACGTAGAAACTCCTTTCGACCTCATTTTTGCCGAGTCATCCAAATTGACTTGGGCATTTGGTGTTTTTGTCTTCTTTAATTTTTTATTTGTTTGAGGTGGTTTTTCAACTGTTGTGTCATCAATATTTGCAGATAGATGTTTAAATGTTTCCTAAAGCATCTGCTCAGTTGTTTCATTTCCCTGTGCTTTATTAATGACTTGATATGCAAATTTGTGAGAGTGTGAGCGAAATAGTAGACCATTTGCCGAATCAGTGCTCTTTTGGGATTCCTTCATATGTTTGTAGCAAATGTTATTATACATGTTCCTTTTAGCGTGAATAGACCATCGCATTAAGAAAAATTTCTAAAAAAATTTTCTGGGGAATTAGCTTTATTTGAGCCACATTAAGCACATAAAGTGAGTGAGAACATAATATCCTCATCATTTCAAACTTTTTACAAGTACAAGTGGGCTCGGAATTGACTTTGTCAAGTTTCACAGTCCAGTGCTTGTTTGCTCCTTGGTTATCCAAATTCATTACAATATATTCCAAGTCAATCTCTGGAAGGTATTCAATTGCCAGTCCACAAAGCCCGCCTAATAACTGTTGCTGGAACAAGGAGTAAAGCTTTCTCGAATAAAAGGTGGCAATTTGCCTAAAAAATGGTTTGCCTTTTACCATTGGCATAATGACCGATTGATCACTTTTAAAATCTTCATCCTTCTCATTCTGACGCCATGATTTTATAATACCAACAAAATAATCCACGAGAGAGCTAGTAGGCTTTGAAACACCGTGACAAATATTATTTGTTGTCTCACTTCGTTGTGTTGATAATATTCCCATGCCAAATATTTCTTTATTGAAGGTTGTGGACCATTTATGTCTGATCTTGTACATATCCTTTAACCAAATGTTGTTGTGGAGGTTCCCCTTTTCAATCATTATGACCCAAATTTCTTCAAATTCCCCATCGGTATCAAACTTACTCATGCATTTGTACAAGAGATCGCCCACATTCTTGACACCCAAAGGACAATGCACTTTTGAAGGAAATTTCTTGTATATATGTCATTGACATAATCTGTTTCGTGTCTATGGGAGGCAATCTTCAATGGCTCCAGCCATCGCTTGATCCTGATTTGTAATTGTCATTGGATACTTGTCACCCGTTATTTGGATAAATGTTTTGAATAACCAACTGAAGAAACCAATGGTCTCATTCGACAAAAAACCCACTCCAAAGTGGACATTTTGCCAATGGTGGTTCACCCCCACGAATGGAGCACAACATAACTTACACTTATTTAATCGATAGTTTGTATAAAAAATTATTACGTCACCAAAACAATCATAATCAAGCCTGAATAAACTGTTGCTTCAGAAAAAGCTTGTAAGTCTGCCACACTCATCAGTTTCAAAATCCCAAGCAAACATTATATCCTCAGCTTGCCTCTCCATGAACAACTATATCAGCGCATTGGCATCTCCTTGCTGTCTTCTTTCTCTTCTTTCTCTTTGAATAAAATTGCATGCATCTCTTTTCGTGCATTCTAGGTTCTACACCCTCCAATCTCCGTGACCATAAATTTATATGCATCTGTTGCTCTAATCCCTGCTCCTGTCATTGATCTAAGCAAATTTGCATTTAACTCACTTATCTTTCTGCTACAACGCAAAAAATGCTTATCACCGCTTTCGGCAAGAGGGTGGTTATGACTTTCAATGAATTTCTTAACAGTCAAATTTCCTTCAACATTAATGGCATATCTAACCATGGCTTGACATCTAATCCTCGTGTCAGCTTTTCTAAACTTCACAGTATCTGTCAGGCTTGACTCCTTTTTGTGGCCAGCCTTTCCGCAAATAAAATCTTTAGTTTTAATCTTCTTCGAGTTTGGCCAATAGATGTTATGATCCTTTCTAACGGAAAAACCTACGTGATGTGCATATGTACAGTAACATTCATATGCTTCTTGATCATTGTGCACAACGGTACAAAGAAATGTCTCTGCGATTGAATCATTGCACTGCACATCACCACTCCATTTTGAAAATAGTCAGATAGATATAAGACAAATAATAACAATACAAATACTATACAATAACATCACCATAACACTACAAAAACTATACAATAACATCACCACAATAGTACAACACTGACACCACTACAATAATTCAATCCATAAACAATAACACCACTGTAACACTAGAAAAAGTAAATAATAACATCACATAACACCTCAGTAACACGACAAAAATACATAAATAATACAACAATAACACTGTTATGACAATACAATCCATAAACTCTAAACAATAACACACTACACCCTAAGCTCTGACAATAACACGATTATAACACTAGAAAAACTTAACTTTAACATCACATAACACTTAAATAACACGACAATAACATGAGAATAATACAATAATATTACAAAGATAACATTACTAGAACAATACAATCCCTAAACCCTAAACCATAACAATAACACCACTATAGCAAAACTAAAACAAAACATCACATAACACCTCAATAACACGATAACAACACAAAAATAATACAAAAAAAATACAACAATAACACCACTATTACAAAATAATTCCTAACTTTAAACGATAACACTACACCCTAAACCATAACAATAACACCACTATAACACTAGAAAAACTAAACTATAATACCACATAACACCTTAATAAAACAACAATAGTACGACAATAATAGAACACAAAACTATAAATAAAACAAAAAAAAAACAGTCCTAGCACTATAATAATCCTCAAACCTAAACTAAAATAACAAACATAAATACCAGCATAACACTAAAAATAACACCACACTAACTATAAACTAAAACAACTAACAAAAATCAGTTAGAACTCACATAACAATGCAATACAATAGTAAAATAAACCCTAAATTAAAGCAAACTTATTTCTGATTTAAGCTTCTTCACATTATTTAATAAATAGAATTCTCTTGGATTGGTCGTGGCATAAAATAGGACATTAATGCATTTTGGCAGGATTCTATAAGTGGGTCGCAGAAATCGAGAAACTAAGCTCCACCTTCGTTTTCCCCCTTCGACTCAACTCCACTCGACTCGACACAGCAGACCTGCTGCTTCGGCTGCTTCGGCTGCTTCCCCCCCGCGG